CAACTTTTAAGGCACCAAAACGGCAAAACCACAAAAAAAAAAAAAAAAAAAAAAAAAAAAAAAAAAAAAAACTTTTGATTTTGGACCTTCCGTATAAGTTGAAATTTTTTTTGAACTCTATCAACAGTTTTTTGCAAACCACAAGGACCAATTTTGTTGTTTACTCTCTAGTCAGAAATTACATAAATTCTCTAAACCCATAAATATATGGTTATTATCTACAATCAATTTACAAAGGATGAATTATTTGTAGATCTTTAATAATAACTAGATGGGAAACCCCCGCGTTGCGGGGGTCGGATACGATAATTTTTTCCGTTGTTTGTTCTTTGAAAATGTTTATAGTTTGAGTTGTTCATTCCTTCCCTCTTTAACTGATCTATAAAAAAATAAGAAATAAAAAAACATCAATGAATCTGTAAGCAAAACTAATAAAGTGACAATTAAACGAAAATATAGAAACCTATAATGCCACAAATAACCAACGGAAGTAGAGAGACCAAAAAAGACAAAAATGAAGCAACTTTAAAATGACCCAAACATAGTTGAAGGACCATTCCTGCCAAAAAAATATTAATATGACTAAATACTAATAATATGTAATAAAAGACGAAAGTTATGAAAAAATAAAACGAAAGTGAAATTATTTGTGAACAAAAGGATAAAGGTGAATGATGAATATTGTAACATTAATTGAAAAAAGAAATTCCAACCAATCAAAACAAAAAACAAAGTACTGTTTCAAATTTTTCATAACTTCAAAATATATATATATATATATATATATATATATATATATATATATATATATATATATACTAGAATAGTTTGAGGCCCGTGCTAAGCACGACCCATGAAAGTTAATTTAGATAACTCCTTAATCTAAAATATAATATGGCAATATCCCAAAAGTGAAGATTTTTCTTTAAATATATACATGTGGATTTTCAATGTAAATGCATCAATTAGCAAATAGAAATATTCCCATAACCCCTCTTCCGAATGGAACAAAAAAAAATCAAAATACCCTCTTCTGATTAGCGCATTAGAAGATGAAGTCAATTCAATCCTCTCTACCGTTACTTGAGACCAGAAATTAGTTTTTAAACAAGTTTGATGGCGCTAGCATCCAGCTATTTCATCTGCAGCAAAACAAAGATACGAATTGTTAAATTAATCGATAAATTTTATCTTTTATTTGATCAACAAAGTAATGATGAAATCATAAACAGTAAAAACAACAAAATCTAATGTCTTTGTATCATTATTAGACGCCTTGTTGACTTCCCTTTATGATATTCAAATTGGTTGCTATTATATGCTTGTCAATTTATTTCAAAGTTTTATTTAAATTTACAGTAGGTCTTTCCGCTAAGGGTTTCTAGCCATATAATATAACTTTTCTTATACTTATAGTTTTAGCATAAACATCGATCAGAAATAAAATTACCTGGCAAATGATACAATATGATTGTTGGCCTACCAATCACATGCAATGCATTGGCTGACATTACTTGTAAGAAAATTTCAGATTTGTTTCAATAAAAAAAACAAGTTAATTAGGAGCAATTGGGAAAATTAAGTTTATTTCACATATTTTGCATTAAGCGAGAATTTTTATTGTACTAAATTTTGAATAAAATTCATAAACTATAAATTGATTGATTACAATACAAAAGTTATAAGTGGATCTTAATTTGAAATAAATGAATGTCAGACTTGAAAAATATTGTCTCTTTTTAGAAATAAACGGACGATCTAATAATAGTAAATCATTATTGTACTTTCATAAGCTTATATAGATTACCGATGGAAAATACATGAATATGGTTTTGATCTAATGAGAATACAAATATAATATTAAATCAGTTAAATGTAAAAACAAATATTATTATTCAAATCAGAGGAGGATGATTGACAGCAACTATTAAGAATGATATGTGTAACAATATGAAGGTTAAATATACAAAAGGCTTAACAACTATATCATCAATGTAAGAACAAACTTGTATGGAATTTCGAAAATGAAGGTAGAATCTCATTAAATTCTACCCATACTCGCCTATTTGAAAATATAGCACTATGGGGAGAATGATCTTTTTTTATTCTTTTGGCATATATGGGATGAATTTATATGGTGAAAGGAATTTAGCAATTAATGTAATTCATACATATAATTTGTAGTTGTAATGGGTTTTGTCGTGTAATAATGATGCTGGAAAACTAATCTTGGCTAAATCACAAATAGGATAAAAAACAACTATAGGAGACTCATATTTTTTAATACCCAGTTCGAAAGACATTATCTTGCAACATTCTTTCAAATTTGTGAGCTCTATCCCTTTCCTTAAGTGACATCCTCTCTAGCTAAATCAAAGCCCCGAAATCATCAAATCCCTATTTCAAAACAATGTACAGTAGAAGGAAAAAATTGTACAAAGTAACTGCTAACGGAAGTTGGTTACTATATACTGGAATTTTGCTAAAAAAATTTTTTTACCAAAATTACCACTTTCCATTGAAACCTTTTAAAAAAAATTGTAAAATGGAAAAAATAAGAAATTTGGTGCAAAAGGTTTTTGATATGTTTTGATTGACTGAGTAGAATAAATGTCAAACTTGGTAACCATTCATCATCCTTTATCTTCACAAGAATATTAAGAATAATAGTCCAGCAAGCTAACATGATATCTTGTGATGTTTGTTTCAATTGTTGAAGGTGCTAGCTTTTAATTGGAATGTTGAGCATGATTATAAGTAATTAGTTATTCTGTCCATTATGTGTTAGGGAGTAGAATGGAGAATTTTAGTGAAATTGGGTGATTTACAATTAAGTAGGGAACCTGATGCGTAAGTATATCATTTGCTTAGTTGAAATATCTGAGATGAAAATGTCATTAGGTTTACATGTTGAGCGTATCATAAAGAACCTATTGTCCTTTTCATGTGGATTTTATTTGTTATTGGGGGTTGATTGACATTTGGCTGGTATTTTTAAAACAACAATCTTGGTTTTCATAATATCAATTTTGAAATTTCATAGGAACATATCATGTTTGACACATGATCGACTATTGACATGACAACAGGAAGAACAATTCTTTAACAAATCAATGGAAACCAAAAATTGACAGTATGCACACAGCGGAAGTCTAACCTTTGTTGAAGAATTTGGGAAGATGAATCAATCCTCAGTCGATAGGGGTGGATTGACTAAATCTTTAATTGCTCGATTAGGGTTTTGTTGTGTGGATGACGTACTCGGTCTTTTGTATTCAAGAAATTGGTAAGATCAATGAATGATAAAGCGTACATAGATAATGACGATTTGTTGTACGGAAAATTAGGGTTTTTTATGGATGATCTCGTTGGTATTCCTGTGGGGAGGAAGCCGTAGATTGTGTCTTTGAGGATAAGGGAATCGCTGAGTGGATCGGTCTTTGTTGTTCAGAATGTGAAACGTTATAGCAAAGGGAAAGAAGATACGTTTGTGTTGAGTTGCGTCGTTACGGAGTTGGGTTACGTGGTGTGAAGCGAGGACTGGAAATCGGATGTTGGAGGCACGAGAAAAACAAGGTTTTTATATATAATAATGATATATATATAATATATATATATATATATATATATATATATATATATATATATATATATTATATATATATATATATATATATATATATATATATATATATATATATAATGAACTAGGTTATAACCCGTGGAAACCACAGTCATAAAATAAATTAAATATTTATATAAAAAAACTTATAATAATCAATTATTATAAATAAATTATTAATTAAGATATATATTTTTGTATTTATATAAAATTATAATCGTTGTTTTAAATAAAAATATGAAAAATATTTTGAAAAAATATATAAGACAATATTTATTTGTGAAGTAACGAAGAAAAATAACAATAAATTCGTGAATATTCACTGAAGATGAGGTAAATATTTTTATATATATTGAGTATATTGTACAATTGTTTACATTGTTTTATTTGAAAATTTGAAAATTACATTATAAAAATGAATAGGTGTTATGTAGGGATTTAGTATATTTGAAGGGATTACATAAAGGTGGTGTGATTGTTTGAAATTACATTTATTGATTAAGGGTTATTGTAATAAATTAGGCAATAGATATTACAAATCAATTTTTTGATGATGTGTTTCATTTGTGCAAAAAGGAGAAGTGAATTAGTGAAAATGTAATTAATGAGAAAAAACCAAAAACTGACAAATAACAAATAATTAATTTCAAGTTTTAATTGATTAACACGTGTCAATTTTACTACTCTTTTATTAGATAGGGAATATTCTATAGACTATTTACCTTTTACATGAATATTTAACAGCTCACATTATTTGAACAAAATCGTGCCATGATATTTGAGATAAGATTATGATATGGGATCCAAGCAATTTGAGTTAGACATAAATAATCAAATGGACCGTCATTAAAAAATTTACTTAAATTTACTAAAGTATTGGTGAAAAGATGTTTCTTTCAAGTTTCAACGAAAGATTAAAAAAAAAATATATATTGTTTATAAGATCTTGCTTTAGCTTATTGAAACTTGTTGCATACTCATTTTATGATATTTAACTCTTTTTATATTCATTTTAACCTGGCAGTAAATTTCTACCCATTATAAATTATTATCAAGAAGTTAGTTTTTTAGTTTTCAGCAAGTTTTTCATCTCTAGTCAGCCAAACATAGCCTACCTGATAGCAAATATGGCGAGGCTTCTTTGTGGTTTTTGGTTTACAAAAATAAAACCTTTAGTTGTGGTAAAAAGGGTTTGATATTATATGGTAAATCTCATTTTATTTAAAGTGATTATATGATTAATCTGGTTTTGATTTTTGAAGCTGCCTTCATACTTCATAGTGGGTCTAACAATTTTCTTCCACTAACATGAATTCTCATAATTCACATTCCTGTTTTTCAAATTGGGAAATCAAACAACAAAGTCAAAATCTTTTTACTCCTCGTAAAAATTCACTTTTTATAAAAGCACAAAACACCATGGTAAGAGTAGCCGCATTACATAATCAAAGTCGAAGCTTTTTACGAATTTATGTAAGACAAGGGTCAAACATGTTATATGTTGAAAGTAAAAGGGTCTAAGTTAGATCACTAGAAATAGCTGAAGGTATACAATGTGTTAACAGAATGTCTCGAGTTGCCTCCTTTGCCATCTTCGTCCGTAACACCACAATCTACACAAAAGTCATAAATAACGCTTAGTAACATTTCTGACGTGGCATCAACCAATGATGACATGGCAATACATTTTATTGAACTTCATGGCCTCAGGACTAATGAAATAATTCCATGTTTAGTCCCTGTAGTTTTTAATTTAAAATAATTATACTTTTAGACCCTATAGTTTTTAATATGTATTAATTACAGCTTAGGTCCCTATAGTTTTTAATTTCAACAACTACAGATTTGGCCTCTGTAGTTTTTAAATTCAATAATTACAGTTTCTGGTCTATGTAGTTTATAATTTGCATTAGTTACAGTTTCGGTCCCTGTAGTTGTTAAATTAAGATAATTATAGTTTTAGTCCCTGTAGTTTTGAATTTGTATTAATTACAGTTTTAGCCCCTATTTCAAATTTTCAATAACTACATATTTTTCCCTATAGTTTTTAGTTTCAATAATTACAGTTTCGATCCCTGTAATTTATAATTTACATTAGTTACAGTTTTAGTCCCTGTCATCCAAGGCATCCCCACTAACCTGGTCATATTCAAGGTCAAACTTGAGGAATTCTTCATTACAACTTTCCACCATATCAGCCAAGCTCTTCAGATTCCTCACTGGCTTGTTGTTAAAAGCAACAATCTATATAAAAACAAATAGTGAGAAAGACAATAACAAATTAACAATATATGAAAATTATGATTATAATCATTTGTAACAATTCCTTGGTTGTTTTTATTTTCTGTTTACCTGAGTATTTACTATTTCTTCATACCCAATATTGATATCAGCCACAAGCACCTGAAACAGAAGAAAAAAAACAACTTTAATATTTGATATGATCAATGGGAGAATGAAAATTTATAAATAAATAAATTTAAAAAAAAAAAAAAAAAAAAAAAAAACAAACCTGGGAAACTACAACAAGTTGCTCATCAATAGATTGTGCCATGGCATGAAGATGTTTGTCCAGTAGTTTCACCGGAGCATCAAAATCATAATCTTTTCCATACTGAAACCCGAAAGTTATTTTTTATTTAAAAAAAAACATTATGAAAGAAATTAAAAAAGAAATAAATAAATAAATAAAAGCACGCACCTCAGAGCGCAAATATGGGACAGATACAGCAGTGAAGACAAATCCTGCAATGATGTAATAGGAGGGGGGTTGGCCTCCAATGTGTGCAGGTATAAGTCTCTTGTGAGTTGCAAGTTTTATGTTGAATTCATGTATCTTTGATTTTCTGAGTATTTTAACAAGAGCTTTATCCCCTGTATATTTTTGTGAAACAAGGTAACTGAAACCGATACGCTCTCCATGCCTGAAGGGAACTGAAAACAATCAAAATGGAAAGCTCAGTAAGTGTTTATATAAAAGGGAGGGGTAAAATGGTCATTTTTACATGGGCTTTACACGTTTGTTTTGTGATGTAAGTGTAACTCAGGGACTGAAAGCGTTATGAAACGGTAAATAAGGACGAAATGTGCCAAAAAGATTCTTTTTTGGACCATACTGGAAAAATGATATAACATAGTGTAGAATCTTTATCTTAAAAAAATAAATCTTGTAGTTTTGTTCAGAATAATAACAAAAATATTAATAATTGTACCACATGTGCAGCATGTAGCAGAAAGTCATAAACCAGAAAACAGTAAAAAATATTTAAACTGGAAAAGTTTTCAAAGGCTAATGAGGGCATTCACGTCTTTTGCATAGAGAAGAGAAACATACCTGTTCCATCATTAGCAACATTAACCCCATCAAAGCTAAGAATTATATCAGAAGGATTCAAGACATTAGACTCTGGAGCTGTAGGTTCAATTCTTTTGATTCGAACACCTTTATGTTCATTGCCCATTCCCATTGACATCCTTAGATCTGGATTCTCCATCTTTTGCCACTCAACTCCAAGAATCGGGAACCCTAATCAATTCAAGATTTCAAAACTCTAAGTTCATGAAAAAAACAAGATGAAATAAGTAGGTGAAAGTGATGGGAATCACCTGTGTATTCACCATTCTTCTCATAGTCTTGAATAAAATGCATGATAACTGGGGTTGGTATGACATAACCAATATTCTCTGCATCTTCATGTTTAAGAGACTGAAATGCAATACCAACACACTCTCCTTTGTCATTAAAGGCAGGGCCACCCGAATTCCCAGAGTTTATTGCAGCATCAATCTGCAAAATAATCAATAATCAGAAAAACAATACAGAGCAATGATAAATGGAAAATGAAGGGAGAGTGTGTATCAAGATTTCTACTTGCAAACCAAGAAGTTCGGTTGATCCATGAACATAAGATAATATCTCTATGCGAGAGACAACTCCACTGGTAACAGAGATTGTGTCTCCTCCAATAGGATAGCCAACAACAGTCACAGCATCTTGTAATGCAGGCAAATCTCCGAACTCCAATGGTGAAATTCCTTCCCAGAATTCATCATCGTTCACGGTCAACATTGCTGCAAACCATGTAAAAAATTTTAGTTTAAGACAAACTATGCAAATAGATAGGTTAAAATAAACTTCATGGCTGATGATAAGTGAAGTGATAGCTACATTTCAAATATAAAATTGATGGTTTGTGGCATGTTTCTATTTATAATAGCAAAATAATAACCAAGGATTACGCATCAATGAATAAAATATGCACCGACCTATATCGCATTCAGTTCCGATGGCAAGCACGGTGGCCAAATACTTGGTATCGGAGCCACGTTTCTTAACTTTGACCTGAGTATGATGCTCTACAGAATGCGCATTTGTCAAAACTCGCCTTCCTCCGATGATAAATCCGCTGCTACTGGAACTATACTGCCTCTTCCGTTGCCATGGCAACGAGAAATTCGGTTCTGTATGAACGCAAAACACCTTAACCACCGCATCCATCGACGGAACAACCTTCCCGACGCTCTCCCACCGCGGAGGACCGTCCGCAACAGTCGCAAGGATGTCGCAATCCCCGTTGTGTTCGCTGTGTCTAGACGCTCTTCGTTCAGGAGACACAACAATGGCGACGTCATCAGATTTTTCTTTTCCAGTCTTCCTACGACGTTTGGAACCACGGCGGTCGGATTTGGTAGTATCAGCAGCAGCGTTTAAGGAAGCTACGACCTCTTCCGCAACGGCGGTGTTTGAGTTAGGGTTTGCTTCTGCGTCCACTGCATTTTTAGGTTTCCGTCCACGTTTTCTCACTGCTTTATCCATACTTAGCGTTTGATTTCCGATCAATGGCGAGTACGTAACATACCGGCGCCTTTAGAGGTCTGGGAATGGCGGAGATGGATTGGATTTTGATAATTTCCGGCGGGGACAAGACGAAGAGGTGACGGAATGGGTTTGGGCTTCATACGTAACGTAAGCTCGATATTTATGAATTGGGTTAGACTCTTAACAGCCCACGTAACGAGCCCAACTGGTTTGATCCAGACCGGTTTTGTGACTTTGTCAAGTTCAAAACCACTACTGAACCGGGTTTTGATTATTTTCAAATTTTATTTTATAACAACATTATATTCGTTCGACTTTTAGTTTCATTATATTTTGAATTTTGGCGATAACGATCTTTATACACATTCTCGACTTTTAGTTCATTATATTTTGAATTTTGGCGATGACAATCTTATACCATCTCTATGCACATTCTCATGACTTGAGAAAATAATGTATTATATCTAGTATACATATTAGTCATTAAATTGTTTTTTTACACCACTAAACTTTTTTCAAATAATATAATTTTTACCAAATATCATTGATTATGTCAGTTACTTTGTTTATTTGGAAAAAAACAATTAAATATTAGAGTAAATTACACGAATGGTCCCTATGGTTTGGGGTAATTTGCACGTTTGATTCCTAACTTATTTTTTTAACTCGGAAGGTCCCTACAATTTGTTTTTGTTACACATTTGGTCCCTGTCTTACCTAAAACGACTATTATTTAAATAAGAAAAAATGATGGGGTATGTAAGGTAAGGTGAGTGGGGTGGGGTTGGGGGTGTGTTTACTTAAATAAATTAAAATATCAAGGGAAAAATAGTATCTTTAGGTAAGACAGGGACCAAGTGCGTAAAAAAACAAACAGTAGGGACCTTCCGAGTTAAAAAAATAAGTTAGGGATCAAACACGCAAATTACCATAAACCATAGGGACCATCCGTGTAATTTACTCTAAATATTAATGATGTGGATATTACATGTATAAAATTAATGACTTGAGAGGCAATGTGTTATACATTATGTATATATTAATCACTAAGCTCTTTTTATATATATATGGTTTACCTACAATTAACTTTCTTTAGATCTTCAAACACTATCCTAGTATCGTTACATAATGTATTGTAGATAAATGTTGATTCGGCATCTACATAGATCACAAGGATCTAATATGCATTTGTAGGCTTATCTTTAATGTGTAGGCCATGTAACTCAAATATGAACAAGGTTCCAACGATTTCATCTTTTTTTGCGTTTTCCAACTCGAATACGAAGGGGAAAACTGAAATTTCATGCAATTGTTGTCAATCATCTCAAATCATAACATTTTGTATTAAAGATATATAACGAGGAAGGTTTCGATGTGCCCTAATTCTAAGATAAGTGGTTTTACGTTCGATTTTAACTTATCCTCTTGAACTTTAAGTCAATAAACCATATCACATTGGTAGTTTTGAGGGTCTTTTTTCTTTTGTCTTGTGCCTCAAACTTGTTTGGACCAATCATGCGTTGAAATTTATGGAACAAGGGATGTATGTTAGTCAGCTTACATGTTGAATTTAAGTCCACGATCATATATTAGATCCACTTCAACCATGTCGATGCCAACTTAGTGTTTACCTATAATAGCTTGTTGTAACGGTAATCTTTTAACAACTAAATATAGTTTAATGGTAATCATGTATTAAAAATAATTTAGTGACTAACTTTGTGTATGGAGCATATTACGTTACCATATCAATTCATTAACTTGTCAACATAATATACAAGTAATTAAGATGTAATCGAGTTTTATCAAATAAGCAAGGTGGCGGCATAACATTTATTACTCGATTATAATGGTTGCTTTCGAACACATGAAGAGAGTTATATGGTAAATCATGTACAAAAGATAAATTAATGACTAAATGTGTACATAAGAGATAATATATTATAATTTCAAATCATTAACCCAAAAAAAATCATATTTGTTTGCAATAAAAGAATGAAATGCAAACATTACATTTGATTCTTTCTCCTTGAATCGGTTTAATTTTAGTATGGAGAGGTGTTTGTTTGATTCTCTCTCCAAAAATGGGGTTAATTTGGTATGGAGAGGTGTTTATATTATTCTTTCTCCAAGAATGGTTTAATTTCATATGGAAATGTGTGTTTTTCATTGTTTTATGAAATTGAATTACATACTAGAATTTTAAATTATTTTTATTCATATAACTTCTAAAAATGATATTTAGAAAAATAAACTTTAATTCAAGTACTTTTATTTTTAAAAAGTAACATCCTGATATCCCGGCTGTCCGACAACCCCCACTATGAAACCTCTCGTACTTGGCACACCGGCCCCGACCCTGCTGGCCCCTACCCGAAGAATCATAGGTCTTAGGCTTCTTAGCATGATCCCCTGATGTCTATACCTGCTCAATCTTCCGCTTCGTGCGAGACTCCAACTCCATCCCCCTCTCACGGGCCTTCTCTACCATCTCGTTTAGGTTTTGCACCTTGTAAAGCTCACAAATCCCGAATATCGTTCCTCAACATAGCATGATATCGGGTCCACCTCGTCTCCTCATCCGTAGCATACTGAGGAATCAACAAAGCTCGCTCTCAAAACTTGGTGGTGATCTCCGCCACAGTCTCGGTGGTCTGTTGTAACCCATGAAACTCCCTCACCAACCGTTGCACCTCAATAAATGGTGCAAACTCCGCATCAAAACGTCGAACAAACTCAGCCTACGACATCTCAGCCACACGGGCTGCTCCCACTTGGCTAGTAACCTCACCCCACCAATCTCGGGCCCTATCCCTCAGCATACAGGAAGCAAATCCAACATTTGCCTCCTCCAGGCAGGAACTCGTGTGCTGGGCATTCTCAATGTTCGCTACCCAACGTCTGCTCACAATGAGGTCCCTGACCCCGGAGAACTCTAGAGCTCCACATGCCTTGAACTATCAAAATGAGGGAGCTCGGGCTTCCATTGAGTGTTCTCATTGGAATACTCTGTAATGACTGTTAACAAGTCTTTGTGACTTTGTGCATAATCATTGTGAGAGGATTAGTGCATATAAGTTTAAAAATCTAACAGATTTTGGTAAATGATAGGAATTTGGAATTCTTGCATTTGCGGTAACGATTTAGGATTGTGAAATGAGAATCATTGGAACTATGTTCAATCGATCTATTTCACAAAGTAAAGATCATAGACAAACTTAGTATGCATACTTGGTGTATGTCATAACTAATGTTTGGAAAAACATAGTGTGCATACTTGGTGTATGGCATGACTAGTGTTTAGAAAACATAGTGTACATGCTTGGAGCATGGGACAACTATTATTTAAATTCAAGTATAAAGCTGATAATTTGAAACAGTATACAATGAATAATGTGTAATCAATATATTGATAAATAAAAGTTGTTCTTTTTATATTCATAAGTTCTGAGACCATATTGGATTCGATTATTCTTGTGTTTCAGTTTGAATGTGTTGACTTCCAAAATAACTAGGCCAGTCTTCCTGAATGACTAAGTTATTCAAACCATTCACAGTCGATAATATGTTGGAAGTAGGTATTAAGGCAAGACTGTCACGAAGCTGGTTTGTAGATGTTCAGGGTATTGGACATAGCAAGAGTTGCTACAACATTCATGAGTACTCATAGGTTCTGAGTATTAGATTCAACCCACGCTCATTTGAATCTCTTCATGGATTTTATCACGAGTGATCATGAGACGATAATATCTTATATTCTTCAAAGCTAGAGATATGAGTTGTTTCCTATGAGTTGGATATACATTGATTGTACGAAAATGCATTGGTAACTCGATGTTATAAAATGTATCTTTGTGTATGATTCAAAAAGTAGTAGAACAAGAATATGAGTTGAAGTTTATCCATTCCTTTTACCCTTAAAGGGATAAAATCAATATATGTGGCCCCCTCGATGATTTAGTGATGACACCCCGAAGTGCTTGGCCAAGCCTGGACTGATTTGATTTGTTCAATTAGTCGGTCGTCATAAATTGGAATTCGGGAAGCAACAGATGGACATAGAGAATGATTATAATCCATATCTCAGTCCATATGATATCTAGAATTTAGGAATATATGATCCCTTATCTAATGGACGCGTCATTGATTTGTTCAGAGTTCGACAACAACTTTTAAGAGCTACGATTGCTAGTCGAGTTTTGGAATCATACACAATAATAGTTTTAGACTTATACAAGTGGGAGACTATTGGATTAGATGTCTAAACCCAAATTATTATTGGTATGTATTCGAACCAACTTGGCATGGTCGATTTGGGTTGCATTGTATCAAAACAGTTGGATAGACAAAATGAGAAAAATGATACTAGTGATTTATATTAATATATTATAAGTTCTAATATATTAATATGAAATCATATTATTTAATTAGTATTGATCAAGAATTAATTTATAATTAATTTAGTGATCAAAATGAACTAATTAAATATGGACTCTTATATATAGTTGGTGGGCCAAGTTAATTTAGGTTGGACCAAGCTTTCATGGATAGTCTATGAAGTTTTTAACCCATGGATCCTATGAAAATGAAAGGTCATAGGTATTAGGGTTTACATGAATGTAACCCTAATCCTCCACACTATATAAAGAGGTCTATGGTTCATGAAATAACACCAGTGGAACTAGCGTGACGAGTGTGTGTACACAAGAGAGCAAAACCGAATTTTGTACAAGCATCCTTATTCTCATGTTATTCCAAGTGTTCTTGATGTTGTGTGAACCATTTGAGGTGTCACACTTGAGGCACTAGGCTCTTAAGCTCCATGGAATCAAGCAACAACAAAGAGGTATGTAATTCTACTAGAATTTATATTATATGTACTTCATATTATGCTAGTTAGAACAATACCTTGGAAAACTGACATTTACATGTATAATAGAGAAAACATAGATCCAGGGTATTTAGGGTTGCGTGTACATCTTAGGAGTGTTAGAATGATCAAAACCCTTCACCACATACTTGCACTGCAGGTCCCTAAAAACCAATCCTCAATACCATGATCCAGAATAGATTGAAGATCCGCAAAGTAGAATACTCAGTTCTCCCCCACTTAGTATTGGC